CCCCCCCCCCCCGCACTGCCGCTGTTTGGAGCACCACCGCCATTTGGAGCGCCGCCGCCACTCCAAACACGGCAGCAGCTCCAAACGCAGAAGTGGCAGCTCCAAACATGATGGCGGTGCTCCAGATGGCAGCGGCACTCCAAATGGCGGCGGCACTCCAAACACGGAAGCGGCAGCTCCAAACGTGGCAGCGGTGCTCCAAATGGCGGCGGCACTCCAAATGGCAGCGGCACTCCAAACACGGAAGCGGCAGCTCCAAACGTGGCGGTGGAATGGGCAGAAGGGAAAGCAACAGTGGTGGGTGCTGAAGGTCTTGGATCTGCAGCAAAGGTGCTTGGTGGGAGTAGGGAGCTCTCTGCGCTTCGCCATGATCACCTGTTAGGAGCGGCTGGTGGCGAGGCTGCCCGCGGGGCGCTCTAGATGAGAATGCAAGGGGGGGAATTAAGTCACCCCCGAAAAGACGGCCTAGCCGTTTTTTCGGGGCTCAAAAAAATATAAGACCCAGCCTTATTTTATGAGAAACATGGTAGGTTGTGAATTTTTTTTGTTTTAGTTACTAGAGTTTTATTTCCACATTAGAGGGAACTCCAACCTTCCACCACAATTAACAACCTTTAAGCTTCGTATCTTTGAAAGGGGAACATTGGCTTCATGGCCTTATAGCTCCTCAGACAACCAAGCAAAGTCACTGAAAGTCAGACGGATGAAACGTTGCCCAGATTAATTTTGTCTTCAGCATCTTAAAACTGTCCTGCAAAATGCCCAAGTGGGCATTTCCCCTCCTTTTCATCTTCCCTTTTTGTGTACTGTAGCTTTGAAAGGATTTTTGCACTGCGTGACAGAGCAGCGATGCCGAGTCTGTGTGTGTTCAGGTTGACAAAACTTTGGGGAGGGAAAAGAATGGCAGTGAGAGCAAGAAGCGAGATAACGATCGCCTGACTTGCATAAATCTCCTTACGTTCTCTCCATTTCACATGAAAAGAATGAATAGGAAAACAACAACCCCACAATAGCTTGACATGATGCCACGGACTTGTCCCCGTGGAAGAAAGCACAGTACATTGGAGGGAAACTGACAAAATGCTAGCCAATTTCACCCGTCCTCCTTTTGCCTGTGGACTACAGGGGGTTGGAAACTGTCAGTTATCCAGCCAATAAATTCTTTGCAGAAACCAGAGCCAGAAGGAGAGGCGAAGCAAGAAATCCTTTTAATGGGGAAAGTAACCCATAGCATCTGAAAACAAGCCAGCCCTAACTCTGCAACGATTTTAATAATCCAGTAGCTGAGTTACATTGACTGAGTTACATCTCCAATCTGGCTGATCTTGTGGAGACAGAGAAAAGCAGACCTGCTTACAAACTAACACAGAATTGTCTTCTCGAAGTAGCCCAAAGGGAATAGTATCTAGCTCATTTATGCCTGGTGATCAAAGTTTCCCCCCTGCAATATTTGTCTTCCTAATCCAACCAGCTTGTTTTCAAGTTTCCATCTCATCTATTTTTTTTTTTTTTTGAGAGTCCAAGGACAATATTTGAGGGACTGCCACAAATAAAAGGGTGTGTGTGTGTGTGTCAAAGCTGTTCTCCAAAGCACCAGAAGGCAGGATAAGAAGCAACGGATGGAAACTAATCAAGGGAAGAACCAAGCTAGAACTAAGGAAAAATTGCCGACAATTAGAACAATAATTCAGTGGAATGACGTGCCTCTAGAAGTTGTGAATGCTCCAAACACGGGAGGTGGGACAGCCATTTGTCCGAAATGGCATATCGGGTTTCCTGCTCAAGTATGGGGTTGGACTAGAAGACCTCCAAGGTCCCTCCCAGTTCTGTTATTCTGACAGGCATTCTGAAACTGGGGCCCTGCAAAACTCGGCCGTGTTGGGATAACCCTTTGCAGCCTGGAGGGAAAAACCGCCAAGCTGTTATGCAAGATGAGCTTGCTTGATTTAAACCTGCAAAACTCACTAAGATACTTGCATAAGAATAAGTCATGATCCTTGTTGGCAGGACATCCAAGACATGTGGTGTTTCTGACCGCTGCCTTTATTTATTTATTTTTTTAAAAAAAAAATTTTTGGCAGGCCTTGCAGTAGAAAGTGGCCGGGGAGTGATTATTTGTAACACTTAACAGGCTTGATTCTTCTTGGAATTGGACTGCCTGGGAAGGACTGGCTGAAATAAAGCAGAAAGTCTATCTAAGGAAAGAGACACAAAAATCTAACAACGCCCAACCCAGTAGAAAAATCAGGTGGTAAATAGTAATCGGGAACAGGCAACCGAGGTGAAAACAAGGGTCTGATAAAAGGGATGCTGCCCAGGAACATGTAGGTCGCCGTACATCTCTTGAGTCTTAAGAACATCACGGAGCCCAGAGGCTGAGCTAAACCATGGTCTGAATAAACCACGGCTGAAGTTTCCCATCAAGCTAAGCAATGAAGCGAGTGGCTGGATTTACATCTCATGCCCCAGCCACAAATAAGCAAATGACTCGGTGGGATATGTAAAACCAGTAGCTAACCTTGCTATCTTTATGAAAAAGGAACGCTTAACCATTTTGCAACCAATGTTTCCACGTCAAGAATCTCTGAAAATTTAAGCTCAGCTCTGTGTTTTCTGCTTCTTAATATCGTGAGCTAAATTACTTCCCGACATACGCGCTTCCCTCTAGCACTGTCAGATAGTGGAATTTGTTTTTTTTCTCATTCAGGCATTAAAATATTTTCACTTTTCACTATTGCAAATTTAACGGGCAGCTTTGGCACCACTCTTGGGCTGCATGTATGGGGATAAGCAAGTGAGAATGTGGCATGAGCATCCTACTGGTTTATGTGTAACACAAAGGTGTGATAATATATATTTGCTGGCCTTTAAAAAAAATGCCATCTGGTATATGAACGTGTATAACAGAATACCAGAATTGAAAGGGACTTTGGAGGTCTTCTAGTCAAGCGGTCGCCAACCGCTGGGCCGTGAGAAAATTTTGGTGGGCCGCAGAGAAATCTCACCCCCAGAGCACCACCCCCACAAAGCAATTAATCCAGGCTGTGCAGAAACACAAGACTGCTCAGCCCACATGGCCCGGGGAACCCTGCCCGCCCACTCACTCCTTACCTGGTAAACTTGCCTGCTAAATTTCTATTTTTCCTTTTTCCGACCATCATCTGTTCTGTTGTGCTGGGAGATTTAGATTAGCTCGAAAACAGGAAATGGTTGGATTTCTTGCTTTCTAGCTAGTCTTTAGATCTTCGGTTCTGCTTTTAAGCACAGCGGAACCTCCCTTAGGACTGAAGGTTCTATTAATCAGTGCAGATTCACGCCAAGCAAATTTGAGAGACTGAGCTAGCCAATGCCTGCTTTGCCTGATTTGTGGTAAAAGTTGCTCTTTTTTAAATAAAAAATTCAATATTTACATACATGGGTATGTTGTCCGTTAGTTTTGTGAGTTTGCTGCAAGCAAATTTTATGAGTTTGCTTGCAAGCAAATTTTATGTGACAGACTGAGCTAGCCAATGGCAGATAGATAGATCTCTGAATGAATCTGTGATTCTGTGAGCAACTCAATCTGCCTGCCTGCTTTGCCTGATTTTGGGTAAAAGTTGCTCATTTTTAATAAAAAAATTCAATATTTATATAAATATTTATAATATTTACATGCAAGCCATGACCACCAAGCTATGCCCACAAATTAGCCCACGCCCACAGAACTGGTTAGTGGTCCCTGGGATGTAAAATTATGAGTTTGGTGGTCCCTGAGGCCCAAAAGGTTGGCGACCCCCTGATCTAGTCCACCCCCCTGCCCAAGCAGGAGACCCTAGACCATTTCAGACAAGTGGTCGTCCAATCTCTTCTTAAAAACCTCTAGTGTTGGAACACCCACAATTTCTGGAGGCAACGCGTTCCACTGATTAATTGTTGCAGGTTGGAATATAGCGTTAAAAGCCAATTCTACTGTATCTGGCTCCTGCTCCCCTTTCTTCTCAGCCCACCGTTGTCCTTTATTTGAATAGACCGGTTCACTGGGGAAGTCTTGGACAAAATAAATTATTCCCACACTCCGTTGCTTGTGGAGTTCCAAGTAGATACATTAAAGCTTTCCATATGGTTTCATTTACTCTGTGGAAGGACAGTTGGCTGGGGGAAAGGGTGGGTGGTGGGAGAGCGGAGGCAATTTGATCACTTTTCTAGCAAATATTCATATCTGCCTAGGGAAACCCCATTTCACACATCTGGAGCGCTGTGGCTCTCTAGATCAAAAGTATACTGAACAGGCTGAGTTTGCACAGTATTCTAAGCTGTGGTTTCTTTAACTACAGTTGGCTGAACAATCAATCGTTGGGGCCTACTTCTCATATAACATTAAACAGCAGCAATGGGATGGATCCATGCAACCCATTAAGTCAAAATCAAACACATTATGGCTTGGCGCAAAAATACGAACATGATCCGGAGAACCCACTCCTCATTCAGCATTGATCCCGCAGTCACAAAAATCACACATATTATCCTTCTTGGAGCATAGATTCCACCGCCCGCCCCCCCCCTCCAGCCACAGCCCAGCTCAGATGACAAAATTTTATTTCTAAGTTTTGACACTGGAATTCAAGAGCAACTAATAGGCAGGGTGAACTTGGAACCTTCTCTAACAGATTTCACAGGCCGTCCTATCAGGAATCCCAGTGTAATCTTTCCAGTCAGTTTTATAGCTCCTGTAAAAAATTGCCGGCTCAATTTTCCTGCTTGTATAAACAGTGCATGGTGAACCCTTGCATCACCTTGACTCACCTCCCAATCTCTGGCCTCAAGGGAGTCATTCTTCTCTTCCCCTCAAACATGTGGAGGTTCTATAATGCGACTCTGGATTGTAGCTCTCAGGAAAGATGCCTGACCCAAACCCATCGCACTGTGCCATCATCAAAAATGTATATCTGGGAGGAACGGCATCTTGTCAGCAATAAGCTTTCCCCGTATTTTAACCACTCAGAGGTTTTGCAAAGCGGCCAGACAAACGCAGGCAGGGTGGTGTTGACAAACGAGGGTGGGAGTTAGCGGCTCCTTTTTTCTTTTACCCCTTTTGTAATTCTAGAAGCTTTCTGCAGCTCATGCGGAGGGCAATATCTGGATGGTCATTTTTGCATTTGGCTATTGTTGATGGAAGTACTTGTTCTCGGCGATCTGAGTTGAGCAGGAATGAGGATGATTATGTTCCTGACTGGCTTCAAAATGGTTTTGGAAGACGGGGGGAGTAGAAATAGCATTATGTGAGAATGCCCTAAATCTGAACGTATTAAACTATAACTGAGAAAAACAAGCTCCCTACTGCAGATATTCCGGGTTACAAGCCTAGAGATAGGCACTTGACCATTGGCTGGAGATAAAGACTGGACCTTTACGTGATATTATGCCTGTGCATGAAAGAGAAGAGTAAAGAGGAACAAGGGGAGCAGTTGTGGCATGTCTTGGATGGCCTCCATTCAAACATCACCTTTGCCATAAATTCATACGGTGGATGTAAGTCAGGGACCCAAATGTGTCAACTTTAAGACTTGTGGACTTCAACTCCTAGCATAGCTGGCTGAGGAATTCTGGGAGTTGAAGTCCACAAGTTGCCAAGTTTGGAAACCTTTGCTGTAAGCCAATCGCAACGCTTATTCCTCTGCTCTCGACTGAATAAGGGTTGTGATTGGCTTACAGCAAAGGTTTCCAAACTTGGCAACTTGTGGATGATCAATAGAGAGATTCCATGGATGGTTTTTCTTACAAAGCCGCTGCTTTGTAAGTAGGTGGAGTCAAAAAATACAACATGGGATTACTATATTATTTTTTTATTTAGTGAATTACCCCGTCTTATAAGTGGAGAGCCAACATAGAATTATAAAGCTGTCTGCGATAGTCAGTCTATGTATCTATGTATTGGATATGCACTTGGCCTAAGTCCTTCAGAAGAATGTGAGGGCAACAACATCATGTATAAAATAATGAAAACGGGACAACCCTGTGGCTGAGCAATGAGGACATGTCATTTTATCCATTAGTATTCATGATAGGATCAAGACAGGAAAAGTTAAAACGCATGAGATGTTCAAGAGCCGATGCATTCCTTTGAAAATTATTACCTTATTGCCAGCTTTTAAATTTGGAAATTATGAATCATTTTCCTAAAAATAATACCAGCAGCTAAATGTTGGCTTTTACTGTGTGAACAGGCTGGACAGCTGTCCAGTAGAAGGTCTGTAGTTGCCTTCTAAATTACACAGGCCCCAATAACCCCATGCAGGACTAAATCCTAGGGTAGTCAATATTCATTCACATGCTGGATTTTGGTCTTTTCCCCGGGTTGCCTATAATCCATATATGTTCTTTCTCCAAACTCATTTTCAGTACAGTAGATGCTTAAGATAAACTCCCCTAAGATCGCAAACTATCATGCTCCTCTTCCTCTGTCAAGCTAGTTTCTAAAATAGCCAAAAGCCAGACAAGGAATAATGGATGGAAACTGAACAAGGAGAGATTCAACCTGGAAATAAGGAGAAACTTTCTGACAGGGAGAACAATCAACTCATGGAACAGAAGTTGCCTTTAGAAGTTGTGGGAGCGTCATCCCTTGAGACTTTCGAGAAGAGATTGGACTGCCACCTGTCAGAAATGGTGTAGGGTCTCCTGCTTGGGCTGGGGGTTGGACTAGATGACCTACAAGGTCCCTTCGGATGATCTGTGATCTGTTAATTGAATCAGTTCCTTTTCTGTCTTGAAGGAAAAGCATTTGTGCCTAAGGAGAGACCGATAGAGACTCGCACAGAAAAGAAGGTGACACTGGATCCAGAATTAGAAGAAGCCCTGGCCAGCGCCTCTGATACTGAGCTGTATGATCTGGCAGGTGTGTGGCTAGATGGTTTGTCTGTTTGCTTCACAGCAGGGTCAGCCTTTCAGTTACTCCAAACTGGTTACCATTCCAAGCCATTGCTCATGTTCTCTTGTCAACAGCACACAGATATGGCTAGCTTTGGTGAACGGACGTGTATATTAGTGCTTCCCTACCGCAACTGGGAGCCTTGTTCTAAGTGAATCTACTAATGTGCTAATAGCACTCCTTTGATTGAGAAGCCCAACTTGAGAACTGGGGTTAATGGCAGTGTTGATGATGTTGGATAGTCAAAGATTTCCACATTCAGATATGCTGAATATTCAAAAGATCTAAAGAGCCAGTCAGGTACACAGGGAGGCTCGAACAGAACTCAAAGCATATGCATAAGTATATTTTCCAACACAAAAGAGCTGTCAACCACATGCAAATATTTGCTCAGGGCTATTATATAAGAATATAAGTATTATATAAGAGGATAGGTATGCATCTAGCCAATACAGATTTCTGACATCCACACACTTATTGAAATATATGCAGATGTGTCTTCACATCTTTTCCCAAATGGGAGGGCTATTCCATCTAAGAAATGCATTATGGATGAAATAGCTATTTGAATGCTGATAGTATAGCGTGAAGGAGCATGATGGCTCAGCTGTTAAAGAGTGCTGGATAGCTGACAGCCCGGGTTTGAGACCTGAGTTCTGTGCGATGGGCGAGGTCCCATTCCTTGCCCCAGCTCCTACCCACCTAGCAGTTCAAAAGCATGAAAATGCAAGTAGATAAACAGGTACCACTTCAACGGGAAGGTAACAGCGTTGTGCACCATTGGCATATTGTCATGCTGGCCACATGACCACGGAAATTATCTTCGGACAATGCTGGCTTCCTCGGCCAAGAAATGGAGTTGAGGACCATGCGCTAGATTCGGACATGACTGACAGATAAACCTTCAGTCGAACAGGTACCGAACTCATCACTGTCCTTTTGATGCCCTAGTTTTATCTGCTCTAGTTTTTATCTCAATCGATTAAACCGTGTAGTTTAAACTCATCATTCCCATCTGCTTTCCTATAAATGATCAGCCCATTTCCATTTTTAAAACTGGATTTTCAATTTTCGAGGTTACATTCCAAGTTTTATTGGATTGCACTTTGCATTTTCAATTATGTAAAATGTTATCTGGTGAGCTTCTTTGAAGAGGCAAGTTTTTCCTAAACAGCCGATTAAATAATTTAAATAAATCATCCTTAAATGCAAAAACAATCCACCTGATTATCCTCCTCTTGATATATTAGCGACTGGAAAAGCAGGAGATGGTAGATGAAGGCCGTGTCTTTTTAAGCCATCTTATTATTGCTGGTATTTCTGGTACTTCTAGCTGTCCTTGGAGTTCATAACTTGGTCAACAACCCTAAGTTTAATGAAGGAACCACCGGTCAAGACGGCAAAAGAATTGTGAAAAGTAAGTAGAGATGTTCCCCTGCACTCATCACACCAAGCAATAGAACAATGTTCTGCAACCATCAAACTACTTAAATCTTTTTCCCACTGTGACGATTAGGATGATTGTTGCAAAGATCCAATTGGCAATTGGTCAATGTGGCAGGTCTCCTAAACTGCATTCCCGTCGTGAATGAAGCAATTAGGAATTTGCTCTGTCAGGCACTTTTGTTCCAAAAATAATATTTCCCCCCCTTGGGCAGTAGTATTTTTTTTTTAATAATTAAAATAGCTAGTGAAAAATCTATTTTAGGAGTTTCTACGAATTGAGTTATATAACTGAAAACATAGCTGGCTATGAGAAGTTAAACGTGAGCGTAACTTATGCCCTGGTTTAATCATGGTTTATTGAATAAATCAAAATTGGCTATGTTTACATAATCAGTGAAGCTAAAACCATATTTTGAATTATCATGATGTATGAAAATTTATGAATGCTTATGCCTAGTTATCTGAAAGCCTTCTGTTGAGTAAACAAAGTCTTGAATTATGGGATAAAATGTTTGCAAAATCAAAATTTATAGTCGTGCCTACTAGGCAGTCTGACATCGCCCTCAATTGTTAGAAGTGGGCAAAAGTGTTTAAAACAAAGAGAGAAGGGAGAAAGATTTCTTTGTAGAAATGAGAAAGCCAAAACTGTTATAAAATAATCCACCAGATTATACTGTAATTCATGGCCTAGAATGCATATGTCACTTTAATGAAAATAGTATTTCTAAAGAAAATTTTGCATTAATGGTGTATGGACGGAAGGGTGGCATTAGTGCTTTTTTTTTTTCCAGATGTGGTTAAAGGTGAAAAGGTCAAGCCTGTTTTTGAAGAGCCACCTAACTCAACAAATGTCGAAGCCTGTTTGCAAAGAATTAAGGCGAATGATCCCACTCTCCAAGAAGTCAATCTGAACAACATAAAGGTACTTCTATCGAAGTCAATCTCAATTGTTTCATTGTCACAGTCTTACTTGTAAAATATGTTGAGATGGGTTTTATTTTTTCTTGTCTGGACTATAGCTTCATCCATCAACGATGTTATGAAGCAGATATTAAATATCAGTATTCAAATTCTCTACACATATAAAACTGACCAGGGTAATGATATTTCAGAGAATGATGTATTTGCAATTTCATTCCCTTCAAAAAGCTATGCTGAAACATTTAAAAGACCAATGATCATCCTGATAAGCACAACACTTTTGAGTGTGAGAGGAACTGTTGTGGAACTGTAGCACGCACCTCCTTTTGTAAAGCTTCTATTGACATAAAACGTGTGTGTCTTTTATTCACCTTAGATTGATCCTAATTTATTTGCCTGACCAATTGTCTTGTTTTATTGGAAATATTTTGTTAGTTGTCTTGATGCTATGCTATAGAAAGGTGGGATGCAAATTACATTATTAAATGGGTGTAATCCAAATTAAAGTTAGGGACCTTCTCAAAAAGTTGATTCATTTATAATTTGGGATACTGAATCAGGTTACTATATGACTATCCTGGAATCTATTCAATTCAAGCAATTACAGTAGAGCTTTTTTTAATCTTATACAGAACATCCCCATTCCAACTCTTAAAGAGTTTGCAAAGGCTTTGGAAACCAATAACCATGTGAAAAAATTCAGCCTGGCAGCTACTCGAAGCAATGACCCTGTTGCGATGGTGAGGTTTTCCTGGGGAAAATATTCTATTTTCATGTTCATATTCTATTTTAATACTGGGTTTAAAATAAAAAACAATGTAGAATAAATATTTTTCTCATAAATAAAAGTATTAGAAAACAATGCAGAATATATAACTATGCTAAAATATAAATTATCTAAAGTTTTATGCTTGAAAAGCTGCAGGCATGCACTATTTTGAATTTTCCGTGAATGACTTACTATACTTTATTTAACATATTCATCCTTATCCAACTATTTTCACACTATTTTGAGGTGACAATGGTGGAAAGGTGAATTCTGAAATGTAATATTTCTTAAGGCAAACAGAAACAAAATTGCTGTGTTTCTTTTCAGGCTTTTGCAGATACTCTAAAAGTAAACAAGACACTGAAAAGTCTAAATATAGAATCCAATTTTGTCACTGGGACAGGCATCCTCGCTTTGGTTGATGCTCTGAAAGGAAATGAAGTACTGACAGAAATCAAAATTGACAATCAGGTAAGGAAAGGATAACAGAGTGGAACTTCGGATTGGCTGGGCTCTAAAAATGACTATTTGGGATCTTGTAGTAAGTCGGAGGTCAAAGTGGCAGAATAGGTATGTTTCTTTCTTAGTATGTTAAAATCCAATCACGCAGGAACCTTCAGTGTGAAAATATTAATGTTTCTTTTACACTTGGAAATACGATGCTGTAGGAGATTAGAATTCCCTCTAGTCTAACAGGTTCCTTCTTCCAGCGGCAAAGTAGATGAAGAATGCTAGGAAATAATTTCGGGGAAATTATTAGTTTTTGGATTGTTCAAAATGCAAATCACTGCTGACTGTAAACAGCTTGTTGTCAACTGGGCCCAAAATTTATGTTGCTAACTGAGAAATTTGTCACACCAGCACCATTCTTTGTCTCCTGTTGACATAACAATTCTTTGATTATGATAAGCTCCACCACCCCACATCAAATATTAGATCTACTTTAGCCTTTGGAGACTTTCGTTTTGGTCATGAAGTCATGTGGATGATGATGGTATGATATCAGTTTAGTCTGAAAGTTGTCTAAAGAGGAACGCTGCTATGAACCAGCAATAATATTTCCCATTTGATTCTATCTCGGTTGCATTTTCAGAGGCAACAACTTGGTACTGCAGTGGAGATGGAGATTGCTCAGATGTTGGAGGAGAATGCTCACATTCTCAAATTTGGGTACCAGTTTACAAAGCAAGGCCCAAGAACCAGGGTAGCAGCTGCCATCACTAAAAATAATGATCTAGGTAAGATACCAACCCCTCTGATTGGTGAAAGCTCAGGAGCATCCTTACAGGAGAAAATACGGAATTCGGTTCGGACTAGGAAAAATAGAAAATGTCCAGACTTGTTTGGGCCATTACAAAAATGACACACCTGATAAACAAGGCTCTCTTAACACAAAACAAAATTGATGAAGCAAGAGTGGACTAGAAGGGGTGACCATCATTGTAAAAATAAACAGACATCTTCTTTCTTGATGGTCAGAAAGGTTTGTCTCATGAGAAACAAAGCTAACTAGGAGTTTGTCTACTGATAAAGAGAAAATGTTTTTCTTTACATTTTGAGGGTGTGGTGTTACCAACGTAACACCTATACCAGAAGTTTTCTTATTCGGTTAGCTAGTCCCCTGGAAACTTAATTCTGCTTTTACCCTCTAGTGAAATAATATGATAAAACAATGATAGCTGAATCCATATATCAAAGAAAAGCAAATAGTGATGAAAAGGAATTAATATTATTGTTGATATTTCAGTAACATTTTATTCTTTATATTGGATTTCCAAACAATACAAGTTGCACTGTGTAAGCTGAAGTTTGTAAATAAGCAACTAACACAGGAACCCAAAATATACGTATTTGTTTAGCTTAAATAATAAACAGAAATGATTTGCTGTCCAAATTTACTACAAAATTAAAGAATGACAAATAATACTGGTCCCATGGTGGAAGGGGTGAATGCAAGTGCAGACATAAAAATAAAATTATTTATTAATCACCTTTACAAAAAAAAACTTTCAAAGTTAGAAAAAATATTTTGTGACACTTACAAGACAATGTTTGTCCTTCTTCCTTTCTCTCTTTCTCTCTCTAGTTCGTAAGAAACGAGTGGAAGAACGCCATTAGCCTTGTCTCTGAAGAGGCGAAGGAAGAAAAGGATTTCTCATAAAATCTCATAAAATTTAGTGATTTAAAGGGAAGATACTGGAAAGGCTTTCGAATGAGACTGCTCATGTTCCATTACCTCAATTCATCCCTTCCTGTTATTTGAACACCATAATCCAGCCTAATTTTCTTTTTCCAAGCAATCAACAATCATGCTCTGAATTCAAGATCCTCTGAATGGAAGACCAAACGAAACTTGGTGTCAAAACGGGAAGAGCTGCAAGTTAATCTTTTGTCCCCCTTCCATTTAATACTAATCTATGAGTGATTAGGAAATTTTCCTGCACGTCCACTGAAACAAGTGGGAATTGTTTAGTGGATTGTGCTTTCTATGTTGTACAAATCACCACCTCCTCTTGACTCATAGTAAGCCCAGGTCTGCTCTTTGTTTCCTGTTATCTTTCTAGTGCTATGTGCAAATTGTAAAGAAAGGGACCAAGGTCATTTTAAAACAACTTGTCATGCCAAGGTGGAACTCTTCTCATACCAGCACACTCTGCCAAACAAATCAATCTTCAAATTCCACAGACTACAATGTGCCATAAACTAGACAGTCAGTATATTGTGAAATATTGCTTCTGGAGCAGATAACTGGAGACAAATCTCACAATAGGCTTTGTTCATACCAAATTATAATTTTCAATAACCTTATTTTAGAACACACTGTAGAATCAAACGGTCAGGATGTGTAAACATGCCCACTATGGCACTGTGTTTTGTGTGAACAAAGCCACTATGGGCTCATCCAACTAACCACGGATTAAAAATTCTGAATTAACACTATGCATGAATGCAATGCCAGACAAAATTGGAATTGCAATAGATGTTAGCATTCTTTTTTCTTTATATTTAGCAACCCATGCTTTAGTTGTACTTCTTATCTTTCACATTGACTGGACCTTTCTAAAAGTAGAACAAATCCTCTAAGGAAAACATGTTAATTTATCCATGGCACAGAATCATAATTAGCACAACTCGCGGCTTGAAAAATTTTCTCAGTCATGGCTTCTGATTCTAGTTTTCTGGCTGACTATAAATCATTACTTGATTAAATCAGTCCTAGCCATGCTTTGCCTTGATATGAACTGAGATAATAAGCTAAATACTAGTATGAACAAACTGTTCTCCAAAATAAGGAGTCACCAAAGGAATCATTATATTTCCTGTACATAAATATGAAGAGTCATTCAGACACTAGCTACAAGTTAAATCCCTTCTTCATATCACAGTGGAGGGATATTAAACTGAAAACAATTCCATTTCACCATTCCATTCATGAGAAAGCTTCATGAATCCATCCTCCACGATTGGAAGGACTGTTGATTATGTGCTCACATATGTTATTATTAGGTGAGCTAGTTTCCTAATCTAATTTGCCAACTTAAAATAGCTTCAGCTGACCTTTTAAGTTATTTGTTGATCTGTGTATATGTATTAATAGGAGACCAAAATAATTACCGTCAACTCATTTGATGTATATAAGTGTTCTAATAATAATGTTGTGTTTGTCAGATTGCTTTTAAGGTTATTTTAATTTCTGAAACTAGACATTTATTACTGTTGGTCACTGGATTCTTAGATAGTGAAGATTAAACTGATCAGTCACTACAGGAGATTGGTGAGAGACATTTCATACCCATGTCTTGCCTAGGAAACAAAGTGTTTCAAATTATTCTCAAGTCAGAAAACCCCACATTCCAACTTCAGTTATCAGGTTACAAAAAAACCCCATTAGTGAACAATGGATAGCACAAAAGGGAATTCCTCACTATGATCGGGACTCCCTTTTTTGAATTTTGAGATCTTACTGCTTCGGTTAAAAATTGTGAAAAATATTTAATGCCAAACATGTATTATACTGCGGGAAAAATAAATAGGAGAAAAACAAGTCTCACTTTGAACAATGGTTATTTTTAAATAACAATAGTAATGGTTCATGTGAAAATCAGCAGGCAAAACTGAACGTGAGGATCTCTGCATAAATGCAGAGTCAGCATTTAATTCCACAAGATCTCTCTTGTGCTTTTAAAATTCACTACAACTGAAATGCATCACAGTATTAAAGAGCAAGCACTTGACACTGGGAGAATAACCAATAAGTGACTCATTATTGTGTCTGTAATCTTTGGAAAAAAGTACTTCACTAAGATTACCACTAACTGAAATAATTTTTTGTTTTTATTTTCCTCAGTATAATGCCACTTGGATGTCTTTTCCAAAACCCAGTAAATACTTGACTATCTCTGCTGCCAGGTATAAAAATACATTTTAAAATAAAAGGCACTGTTATTTATAACTATGTAAATTAGCTTTATAAAAAGGAACTGAGGATTTTCTTCCTGCAAATTTCCACCCAATGTATGGCAAAAATAATTGGAAAATAGCTGTTTGCACAAGCTGAATCGTTAGTAAAAGGATATGAATATACTACTACATTAAAAGCATACCTAATCAGAAAGCACAATTTCTTTAAAAAATGTTCCCAAATGCTGTTTCTATATAGTCCAACCCAAAAATTTCCAGGAATGTCATCTGAAATAATTTTTAGAATCATTTTTAAAATACTGCATGGAGATTAAGGTCTCAAACCATTTGATCATGACATACTTAAAAGATGGATGTCCCCAAGACCGTAACACATTCTTTTCTTTTCCCCCCAGCTTTGACAGATTTTTCCACATCATAATTTAAATGTCTGTTCATTAATGTTTTTTTCATTTGGGGGAAAAAACCCAACACGAAGTAAATATAGCTACAGTATGATTTTTTTAAAAAAAAATCAGGGTTTTTTTGAGCTGTAAGCTTTGTATATATGATGCTGTATTTACGTATGATAATTCTTTTGTGGGCATCCTGGCTGTTTTTAATTTCACATTCTTGAATGTGTTCTTTATCCAAATAATGGATTATATATATATATTATGAATATCATTTTATTAATTCAACTTGCAGCCTTATTAATCCTTCTACCCTACCCTAGACTTGTGTGTCTAACAGCAGTATTCAGTTATATTTATCAGCTAATTCCTGATCTCATCAGCTGTCTTTAAATGTCTAAATAATATAGATATGACTGCCATAAGAAAGGGGCATTCACTGGGTTGCATGAGAAGAAAAGAATGTGCTTGTCTTGAATAATACTTGCTTCAACATACATGTGCATCCTTTGAAAACAAAGTTGGTTTTTTCTTTGGAAAGCATTGTTCTGATCATTTGTAACTTCCATCATCCCTCATGCAAATATTACTGATCAGTCACAGCTTTAGAACAGAGTACTGTACTAATAAATTAGAAAGTTATTTTAATGTGTTTGTGCAGTTACTTGAAAAGTCAGATTTGATACACAGTGTAGTACCTGCTAATAGCATACATATTATCACAGTCTACTCACATTCAATTACTTAAGAAACAGAAGCTTTATACATTTAGTTTTGAAAAATTATCTTGATAAGAAGCTGCTTGTCTTTATGACATTTACTCAGGAGGATAGTTTTCAATTACTACAAAAGACTGGCATTTTAAAAAGTTCTTTTTGTTTGATCATATTCTCTGCTTCAACAACTGAGTAATAGGTCAGTCTAAAACAAGTGAAAATGGCATTGATAAAAAAATAGGTTCCAATGATTAAAAAAACCTGGATGTAAAATATGACTGATATAAATTCCTATATCGGGTGAACAAACATAATAGGAATCAAATTTGGCATTTTAAGGTTCTTATTTTATGCTTCAATCATATGCAACCTCTTACCTGTAAAGATTCAGTCATTAGACTAATAGAAATATTTTAATTATACATAAGCTTGAAGTCTTCATACAATATTAAAGTTACATAATGGTCAGTATGGATTATATCTAAATTTAACTACTAATTAACCAATTGTGAGAAATTTCAGACAATTGCTTTATATATAGATTGCAACAATCCAGTGTAAGAGCAGGTTTGTAATGGTGGCTTAGAATTAAATTTGGCATGCTTTATTCAAATAAATAAGGTGGGGGGGGGGGAGTCAAACTTAGGTTACCCAACAACCCTAAAAGTTTTCAGATAATATATCACAGATCAGAAGAAGTCTGCTAACACATTTTAAGACAAACATATTTTATATAAAGTGCTTTTATTAAAAAAGAAAAGAAAGAACTAAGTAAAACATATTTTATGCAGAATGTTTTTATCAAACAAAGGAAAAAGAACTAAGTAAAACATGTTTTATATAAACTGTTTATTAAAAAAAGAAAAGAAAAAAAGTAAAACATATTTTTATATAGTGGTCATTTAAAAAAAGGAAAGGAAAAAGAATTAAATAAAACATTTTATATAAGGTGTTTTTATTAAAAAAGAAAAACAAAAAAACTAAGTAAGACATATTTTATATAAAGTGTTTTTATTTAAAAAAGAAAAGGAAAAATAAATAAAACATTTTATATAAACTATTAAAAAAAGAATTAAGTAAAACATATCTTATATAGTTTCATTTAAAAAAGAAAAGGAAAAAGAATTAAGTAAAACATATGTTATATAAGGTGTTTTTATTAAAAAAGAAAAACCAAAAAGAACTAAGTAAAACGTATTTTATATAAAGTGCTTTTATTAAAAACAAAGAAAAGAAAAAAGAACTAGGTATACAGTACAGCAACAGTGCCATTGTTTGCCACTAGAGGGAAGAAGAGCACATCAAATGCATTTAATAAAAGTTTCCAATTTGGAAATTATTGCCTTTGATCTAATAATAGGAGACTAAGTTTGCATACAACCAAAAATAAATATTTCCCTGCTTCTGAAAAACAACAACAACCAGGTCTACATTAACAATAAAGTATTGTGAGCCCTGCCAAAGGCGGAAAAAAAAAAGCTAACTTCTGCAGCTCCCTGGGAAGAACACGTGTAGATCAACTGCCCATGTTCCCACAATTCGCTTAACCCGTGTAAGGATTCCTTTTGACCAATAGAGAATATCTGTAGACTTTTTTTTTCTAAGTAAATTTTTTTCTGGGTTTATAGAATTAAGGAATGATTTATATTAAGAAATGCATAAGTATTAATAATAAGAGGCCGCTGGACTTTCTTGGTTTTTTTTTTTCTTTGAAGACGTTTCGCTTCTCATCCAAGAAGCTTTTTCAGTTCTGACTGGATGGTGAGGGAATAGAAGGATTTATATTCCTTGCAGACAGCTGGTCATTGGCATCCTTTTAGAGGGTCATTGAGGCCACTTGGAGGTTTGTCTGTGTCCTCAATGAATATAAATCCTTTTATTCCCTGCCATTCAGTCAGAACGGAAGAAGCTTCTTGGATGAGAAACGAAACGTCTTCAAAAGGAAAAAAAACCCAAGAAAGTCCAGTTGTCTCTTGGGGGGGAAAAAAGCATCTTTGGGACAACCATGACCTGAGAATCTCCACAGACATAAATATTATAATATATTTTCCCCGCAAAACTTCCATTTTCCCGCTTCGCTGTTCTTTTACAGCACCTTCAACCCTTAAGGGGAAAAAACACACTTGATCATGTATGTGTACTCAAATATTAAGCATGCTTATAGAGCAAAACCTCTTCCCCACTGAGGACAATCAGACCACTTCACCCTGCTTTTACTACCAGCTACGCTCCCCTTAGGAAGAGAACAAAACCTAGCAGTCAAACTATCAGATGCTTGCCTGAAAATGCCCTCTCCCAGCTTGGATTGTGTTGCCCACACAGATTGGAACATCTTCAAACAACAGGACTTCGAGTAATACACAGAGACTGTGCTCTTCTACATGAAGACCTGTGTAGAAAATGTCACTGTGGACAAACACATACGGACCTTCCCAAACAGGAAACCCTGGATGACCGGCAAAGTCCAGACTCTGATCAGGGCCTGTGACCTGGCTTTCAGAGCAGGTGACACCTCACAGTACAGCACTGCTGGAGCTGAGCTGAGAAGGGGCATCAAACATGCCAAGAAGATGTATAGGAGGAAGGTCGTGGGCCACTTTACTGACAGTGACCCACGGCAGATATGGAGGGGGATACAGGCCCTGACCAACTATAAAGGCCAGAGCCCAACAAACAGCAAGAGCAGCAGCACTCAGGCAGAGGAGCTAAACATCCTTTTTTGCACGCTTTGAGACCACCAAGAACCTGGACGTATTGTCTCACGAGGACCACGATCGTGCACCTCTTTCTCTTCAGGTGCATGAGGTGAGAAAAACACAGTAAATCCCAGGAAAGCTGCAGGGCCTGATGGCATTCCTGGTGCAGTAGTTAAAGCGTGTGCTGACCAGTTTGTAGAAATACTTACAGAGTTGTTCAATCTATCTTTAACACATACCATCATCCCACGATGCCTAAAGGCTGCAACCATCATCCCTGTTCCCCCCAAAAAACCCAAATATAAACACTCTCAATGATTAAAAGGCCCATAGCATTAACAAGCTCCATTATGAAGGTTTTTGAGCGACTAGTTTCACAGCACATCAGGGACTGCCTCCCGCCCTCCTTTGATCAACATCAGTTTGCTTATAGAGCAAACCGATCTACGGAGGATGCTGTGGCCATCACACTTCATAGAGCGCTGAGTCATCTGGAGAACAAACAGAGCTAGGTGAGGATGCTCTTTGTGGAGTACAGCTCTGCGTTTAACACTATCACCCCAAATATACTAGTAACCAAACTGTATAATCTGTAGGTCCCCATCCCCACGTGCGCCTGGATTAAGAACTTTTTGACAAACAGACCACAGTCTGTTAGACTTGGCCCCCACCTTTCTTCCACTATTACACTTAGTACTGGTTCCCCCCAGGGTTGTGTCTTGAGCCCCCTGCTATATGCCTTGTACACCTTTGACTGCTCACCAAGCCGTGCAACGAACACCATCATAAAGTTTGTGGACGACACAACTGTTATTGGTCTCATCTCCGGAAAGGATGAGACGGCATATAGGGCAGAAGTAGAGAACCTGTCTGTCTGGTGTTCACAGAACAATCTGTCACTGAATGTCCATAAAACCAACGAACTGATTATGGACTTCAGGAAACATGGACAGGACCACGCCCTACTCAACGGAGAACGAGTGGAAACTATCCCTACGATCAGATTCCTTGGCATCCATATTTCAGCTGATATCTCCTGGTCCCCTAACACCAAGGCCATAGCGAAGAAGGCTCAGCAGCGGCTGCACTTCCTACGGGTTCTCAGGAAAAACAATCTGGATAAGAAGCTGTTGCTGGCTTTCTATAAAGCCTCTGTGGAGAGCACTCTGACATATTGTCTGGGTGTGTGGTATGCAGGCTCCAAGGTTGAGGACAGGAAAACGGTACAGAGGGTGATAAACACAGCTCAAAAGATCACTGGTTGCCCTCTGCCCTCCCTGGAAGACTTAGCCAGGCCTCGCTGCGAAAGCAGAATCAAGGCCATCATGGAAGACCCCTCACAACCTGGCAATTATCTTTTTGACCTGCTGCCATCTGGATGGCACTTTAGGTCAATAAAATCCCACACCACTAACCTAACAAATAGCTTCTTTCCCTGGGCCATCCGAACCGCAAATAAACACAAAGTCACTACCTTATTAAGATGTGGAAAGATGTGAAATCTCAATACCCCATTCAGATGTATAATAACGTATTACAGTACAACCCACCTCTTGTGCATTATACTTGGCAAAGCGTTACAGTGTTGGATGTATATTTTGTGTATATTCGTAGATACTGTACTCTCAAATTGCAAATGGAGACGTGGGTACTC